CCTTTGAAAATAAATCTACCTTTGCCCTCAGAGTCGGGCAGAGCGCGTCAATAGAATTATGGAAGCGGGAATTCTTACTGTCCAGTACAACTGTTTAATTGTAGAACAACTTAGGATCTTGTTTAATTTGTATACCCACAATACGGAATGTATGCATCGTCATCTGTCTTTCGGATAATCATCTTTCTTTGCGATCGATCGGAGATCAGCCCAATAATTCAACTCCCTTTACAGCGTTATCTCCACTCCACCCAATTCTCCGATTGTGGTTGGCCGACTGTCGGCTCCAATACAACATTTGCTCAACTTATCTTTCCCAACAAGAAACTCCACTCCTCTTTTCAGTCAACCGGTGCAACTTTGTAACTCCGATCATATTCCATCTATACCCACGTGGACAACCCATCCGTACCCCAATCAACATTAAATGTCACTCCGCCCGCCTCACTCCCGTCGCGCTCAGTCCTAACGAACGCAGCACTTGTCGATGAACGCTCTAGATGCTTTCAAGGCAGCTGTGGCCGGCTAGGTGACTGAGATTGCCTCACTTGAATACACTCGAGCTCCATGGGCTGGCGTTGGACCAGGCAAGAAGGAAAGAGACCAACTCGCGATTGCTGTGCCCAGGTTTAGGATCAAAACGTCGGGTCCAAGGCAGTTGGCAAAGAAATTTCCGGACTCGGCGAGCAGTCCCCTCTTCTCCTTGGATCTGTGGCAGGATATCCATGAAGTATAGGTGGCTAGTACTGATGGAAAATCCACCATGTACCATGTTAAGTCGTAGCAAAACCTGTGGGAGCGTTCGACCGAAACTGTTGAGTTGGAACAGCCCTCTACAGGGAGGTTATGTCTCCTCGTCCTGGCCGCCGTCATGCTCGCGTTTGGTCTTCGCTCGTCGGATCCGTAGAGGTAATCCTGATTTGTTTCCTCTCCTCGTCAAACCAATCATGTCATACAAACACTCAGTAGATCTCTCCTTTTTTATTGTCGATGATGAATAGATAATGTCACTACTCTTATCGGTTCCTTACTCGGTCACTTAATAGCTCTAGCCGAGTCTAGCAGCCTCGGTGTTTATCCAATACGTAGAGACAGCGATCTTGACGACGATATTTGTAGCTTTCGCATGTTCAATGGGCCTTCATGATTATGCGATCTTGAGGACGCGATATGACCTTCAACCAGGATGAATTGCTTCAAGACTTATGGTCAAACCCGAAATGTAAAATGAATAGTTTCAAGACTTATAGTCACCGAAGAACGCGTATATATCATGTGTATCAATAGGGACAATTGATCATTCAAGGAAAGTTGAGTTTAAGCTAATTATCCAGAAACAAACTTGGACTTATCTTCCTATCTGCTTCAACATGACAACTCATGACAAAGACAACTCAAGTAGGACAATATAAAACATAAAGCAACATGAAGCACTGTGAGATATGAGCCAATGAAGGGCAATGTAACACCAATTTGAAAACTATTCGCCATAAGGATGACAAGAGCATTGCAAGGCGTTCAGTAGACGCTCAGTCGTTTTAAGGTATAAAGATTGTAAATCAAGAAACCAGACCTTGAAATCATTTTGGGATGATGAATGATGATCAACTGCAGCCGGCACAGGGATGAGATAACGGCACAGAAGTACCAAGATAGAATCGA